GGGATGTTGGTGCGTGCCTGAGTGTCCAAGTGTGTGTGTGTGTGTGTGTGTGTGTGTGAGAGACCTAATCTAGGTGGGTGTGTCTGTGAACGAGGTCACTGAGTGTGCCAGGAAGTCATTTGGGGGTGTCCACTTGTGAGTGTGATTAAGCCTGTGTGACCGCAGGGACAGTTCCTTTGGCTATGTGAGGCAGACCCACCCAGTCACTCAGCCTTCGCCCTGTCCCCAGCTGGCCACTCACCTGGCTCCGTCCTGGAGGTTTCAGGGGGCCCCAGGGCCCCACAGGGGGCAGGGGGCAGATGCTGCTCTGGCCTCCTGGGTCCGCCCTGCCCAGGGGAGGGAGGAAAAGTTGAGAAGCTGGCTTGGGATAGGGCGCAGTCCCCTACCTCACCCCCTCTCTGGACATCAGCCAACCCCCCTTCATCTCAGGATCTCTGATGAGAGCCCTGGTTGTCATAGCAACTGTTACTAAGGCAATCAGCCACCTGGTTGCAAGGGCCCAGGAACAAGTGGGTGTGTTTCGGGAGCATCTGCTGGGGATGTCCTGGCCTCAGGAGGCTGTCTGTACCCAAGGGGATGGTGTGAAGGGGGTGGCCTGCCCTCTAGACACATGTCCAGGGCTGCACACACACATACAGTCACATGTGTACATGTAACTCTGGTCCCCAATTGTCTCTAGAACCTGGTCACAGCTCTGCACAATTACACACAGAGACAACCACAGTGACACACACTGGATCACGCAGAAACACGTCAACAGTCACAGCCACTGTAAATACCTGGCTACATATCCAAGTTCACAGACATACAGTCTCTGCTACAGACCATTTGTCCACAGGTATGTAGAGTCCCAGGCTGCCCAGGCACTGCCACAAACGTCTGGTCATATCAGTAACTGGTATTTTGTCACTTCTCTTTTCTCTGCCACATACAAAGAGCTGGGTCCGGGCACACCCACTGGGGCAGCCCATGGCCAACCAATGACAGTTGTTTCCTCGGGCACCCAACCAAGATACTCACAGACCCAACCATGTAGAATCACACCCCGCAGGAGGTCACCTATTAGCTCTGAGGCACACACACTTGTCACATACAGCTCCCTTGCTGCCTGCTGACATCTGGTCAGGGATGCATGCAGACATACTGACACACATTTGGTCATACCGAGTCACACCCAGCCACAGCCACATGTGTTTAATCATCGACCAGCACACAGCTGCACAAGGACACTCAACCCCAACTGTATCAGTCACACCAACACACCTTTTTGGTCACACACTGTCACACAGCCATACATCCCAGTCGTAGAGGCACACATTTGGTCATGGTATCAGCCACACGTATATGGATGGTTCTCCATACCCAAGCACACACACAGACCTCGATGGCCACGGCCCATGCATTAGAGAGAAATGGGCACACAAACTCGGGACATGCATACAACCATCCAGAGACAGTTCTCCCCAAGGACGGACACACTCAGACACAGCCAGACAGTCAGTGGCTCAGAGTCACAGCCATACGCATTTCAGAAACGGTCATGTATGCAAAGTCCCACAGCATGAGTGTCCACGTTACCCAGCCATATATCACGGTCATGGTACCTATTTCACAGTTACCCACCATCCCACACCCAGCTGTACCATGTCAGACCATCACAGAGAAACACACGGTCTCTCTTCCTGCAAACATGTAAGTCACACCGACAAGTATGGGGCCAGATACGATCACAGCCCCATGTGGAGAGACACATAATATCTCACACACAGAGGCATCAGCACACAATTTCCATTACACACACACAAGCAAACAGTCAGGTATGTGCTTAGAAATCCAGTGACCCAGACAGAGCATTTATAGCTGCGTTTACACAGAAGACACAGTTCCGGATAGAGTCATGTGTGGAGTCAGGAGACAGTCACTCTGTCACCAAATCACACAGATTCAAACATAAGCCACCCAGCACGCATACGGGGACACCCACCCACCCACCCCAAACAGCCACACAGCTACAGACACACACTCTTACAGACCATGACACAGACACAAGTATATAGAGTCACCCAGCGTCACAGACATGCAGGTCACACACAAATACAGAAGCCACAGTCACATACACATCCCCCCACACACACACACAATCACCGGTGCCACCACACACAGACACACCTATAGTTTGAGTCACATGCAGTGAAATAACCCACTATTAATAGTCTGTCAGGGTTTCAGACTCCAAGTCAAATACATAACCCAAATCACAGGTACACAACTATAAATGCACAGAATCACTCAGTATCAACACACAGACCTAGATGTAGTCATTTATACAATTCCGGCCACACACATAGATGTGGCTTTGAACACACAACCGCAAACATACAAGTCACAGTGCCAGCACACAACCTGTCACATAAGCACAGTGTGACTTCATATACGATGGCAGTCACACACCTAAAGTTGCAGGTACAGTTGTGTGTCATGCAAGCACATGTGTGACACATATAAAATCAGAGACACAGTCACAAACATTCGAAGTCATTAGGACAGTCGCACATGGACATAGAGTCATAGACACAACTCCACTTATAGTCACAACTCCACCCACATCTTCAGTCAGCCACACACATGCCCAACCCCATACTCAACAGATACACTGTCACATACCCAGTTAGAGTTACCAAGGTACATACATGGGGTCACAAAAGACATAAAGACACAACCACATAGTCACAACCATGCACACACTCAAACACAGACAGACTGAAAAGTATAGGGTTCTGCACAGTGAGCGAGCAGCTGTCATATACACATACACAGCCACACAAATGCTGGGGTCACATACAGAGACACAATCACAGACGCTATCGGACACAACCACAAGCACGAAACACACGATTCCTCAGAGTCACCAGCTGCAGCTCACACACATACACACACAGGCAGCCACAGTTACAAAAACACAGGGTCACACTCTTAGCCACCTCCCCATCGCTTGCTTCCCCGCTTCCACCCAGGTACCACACACAAAGCCATCATCACCGCAGACGCTGCAGACAGACAGGGCTGCACCAGGTCCCTGGGGAGCCGCCCCCTGGCCCAGCCTGAATCCTGGAGCCTGGGGGGCCAGAACCGGATGGGGAGGAGGTGCATTGTCTGTGCGCGGGGCCCCTCCCAGACAGCTGGGCAGCCCCTGGGACAAAGAGGGTGGCCCAGGAGACCTGTGCCCTGGGACCCTTGACCAAGTCTTTTTGTGTGTGGGGTTGCCTGAAATTCCCCTTATTTTATTCAGGCTTGGGGGGGATAGAGTCCCAGGCACAGAGACCTTGTTTTGAGAAGGGTCTGTTCCTGGGACGCCGCCCAAGCATGGGGGGATGCTGTGCCCCGGACGCCTCTGAGGCCTGGGGACGCACTGTGCCAGGAATCCCCCCGGGCCTTGGCTTGGTAGGGAAGCTGTGGGGGCCCGGGGACCCCATTCTCAAGACCTTGCCTAGAGGGCTGCTGTGAGAGAGCCCCTCAGGCCGGTAGGGGTTAAGGATTGCGTCTGGTCTGGAATCCCCTCTTAGAGGCCTTGACTTCATAAGGAGGTTGCGTCCCAGACCCCATCCCCAAAATCTTGCTTAGGGGGTTGTACCTAGAATCTGTCCCCCTGTCCTTGATTTTTTTGAGGGGGAGGTCTGTGTCTGGGATCCGTATCTCCAGAGCCTTGGCAAGACAAGGCCTGTGCCCGAGACCCCTGTCTCCCAAGATCTGGCTTGGAAGGGAGCCGATTCCTGGACCCCCACCCGGGACCACCCTCCCCAGCCTTGGCACCCTCTCTCCATCCGGGCGCCGCGGCCGCCTCCCACCCTCCGCCACATCAGCAGCGGCGCCGCCCCCGACCCGAGCCCCCTTCTCCCGCCCTTCTCACGCTGGCCGCCGCGCTGCGGGACATCCAGGGCTCCGGCGCCCCCGCCTCCCGCGGCCCCGGCTGGGCCCGGATCCCCGAGTGCTGCTGCTGCTGCTGTGGCGGCGGCGGCAGCTCGGTCTGACGCGGGCCGGGGCCGGGGGCAGGGGTATGGTGCGGGATGCAAGCTCGCTATCCTGCTCCGCTCCCGGGAGGATTCCGTTCCAGGGGCGGGGGAGCGCCCCTCCCGCTTCGGCTCCCCGCCCCAGCCCCGCCGCCTGCTGGATATGCAAAGAGACCCCGCCCCTTGACCAGTGGCCACGCCTATACGCAACCACGACTCCGCCTCCTCCGGTGTGGCCACCGCCCTGCCACGCCCACTGGCCAGTCCTGGGCTGAGCACGCACGTGAATCTCGCTGACACGTTCCCCTAGGTCCATCCAGGCGTGGGCTCCCTTCCCCTCCGTGACCCCTGATCTCAGATCCCCTTAAGTTCCGCGTCCGAAAGATTTGCTTCGGGAGGCGCCTCGCGGTCCCTCATCCCCAAATCTTCCAGCTAACCCCACGGTTCTCCCAGCCCAGCGGGGGCGGGCAGAAGCGGTGACGAGGCACTTTTGCCAGGAGAGGGGGAATGAACAGACCCCGGCGTCCTGGTGCGCGATCGGTTCAGCTTTGGGGGCGGGGGCGCCAGGCTGGGACCGGGGAGCGGTTCTGGCCGCCCAAGTGCCCCCGCACCCGCCCAATCCTGTGGGTTTGGCAAAGCAGCTGGCAGGGGCATTAAGGCCCATTAGCAAAAGCGAGGTTGCTGGGAGCCGAGTGGAGGGAGCCAGGAGGCTGGGAGGTGGTGTGTGTGTTGTGGCGGAGCCGGGGGGTGGGGGTGGGGGTGGGGGTGGGAGGCCTTCTCAGCTGCCACAGCCTTCGGAGCAGGTGGTCAGCGGGGGGGGAGGGGGCGGGGTGGGGGGTAGGGAAAGGGGAGAAGGAGGGTCCCCGCAACAGATGGCCCAGGCAGGACTGGGGCTTTCAGACAACAGGGTAGGAGGGGGGCTGGCCATCTGCACCTGGAGGCAGCCTGCGAGCTCCTCTCCCTCCCGCCTCAGCGCAGAGAAAAGAGCTGGGGGAAGGGGAGGGCCACTTTTATTAGGACCAAAGATTCAAACACCGGCCACATCTGGGGGAGACCTGACGCAGAGGTCAGGGGCTCCCCGTCTAGGTGAGTCTGATCTCCACAATGGCAGTGCGGAGGGGCCTAAGGCTCTCTCACATGTTGGCAGACATAAATTAATAGCTGGGTGGAGTTCCTGGATGCTCCCTTTGGAGTGGGGAGAGCAGGATACGGGGCTATGAAGCTGGAGTTCCCTAGTCCCAAGCCCAAGGTGGGTCCCCAGACCTGCAGCAGAGAGGGAAGGAGGCCTCAGAGCAGGGGATGGCCTGCTATGGGGCTGGAATCCCGAGATGGAGTCTCTGAGGGGTTGGAGCAGACATCCCTCTGGTTAGGAGGCTTCGGGCAGTGGCTATGCCTGGCGACTGGCCCAGTAGCGGTGGTAGGTGTCCTGGAAGAGGTCCCGGCAGGCGATGTGGGCATGGAGGCGGGCACAGGCCAGGAAAGCCCCCGCCAGCTTTCTGTGCAGGGCATAGGTCTCTTCAGGCGGTGGGCGAAGCCGGTGCTGCAGCAGCACAGGGATGAGGCCCTGCACACGGCGGGCAGTATCACCCGCTCCAAAGTCGTAGGGGCCCTGGGTGGCGAAGGGCTCCCCCAGGATCATCACGGCCTCCACGTGGGCGTCCGAGAATGCCTAGGGGTCGGGGAAACCAGAGGCAACCAGTGTGGACATACAGCCCTCCATTCCCCCAGAGTCTCTAGTATAAACACAAGCCCCCAACTCCCCAAAGAGTAATAGGCAGCCTCCACTCCTTCCAGAGCCCCTAAGTGACAAGCAGCCCCCTACTCCTCCCAAAAGAAAGGTCCCTTCCTGTCCTCTCAGGGCCTCCAGTAGACAAATAGCCCTCACTCTCTCTAGAACAGAGAAGCAGCCTCTGTTCCCCGACCCCTCCGTATCCACCAGCAGTCCCCCATTCCTCCCTCTAGAACAGATAAGTGGTGCCCATTTTCTCAGGATTCCTGAGTAGCCAAGCAGCTCCCATTCCCTCATGCTCCCCAGAACCCCCAGTACAGATAAGCAGCCCCCCTTAGAGTTCCTCACTCATCCACAGTTTCCCCAGTAGAGAGAAGCAGCTCCCCACTCCCCCCAAGAGACACCAGCCCCTACTCTCCCAACCTTGGTCTCAAAGCCTGTGAGAAATTTGAGGTCTCGTGATTTCTGCAGGACCCGGTCTCTATCTCCGTTGGCTGCAGCCATCACCACCTGGGGAGACGGATGTGGGCACAGGGTCAGAGGGATTCAAGGAGGGGTCTGGAGGTGGGAGCTAGAAGCTGGGCCCTGCCAGTACCCACTTCTGTTCTCATCTACCTAAGCCCTCTCACCTAGAAGTCTCTCCTTCCCCACCTTACCCCTGTCTGTGTCTCTCTCAAGACTGTTCCAGAGCCTGGGGGCTGCAGTGGTCAGGTGTTCTGCCCACCTGGCTGGGAAGGCAGAGCCTGCCTGGAAACTACCACAGTGAAACAGCACAGAGGAAAGCAGATGTAAGTGGTACCCATGGGTCCAAACACTTAATTGGGCAAGTATGTGATCATGACCCAGAACTGCCTCTGAGGTTGCCATCTCTGTGATCACCTGGTTGATGTCTATTGATGCCTGGTTCCTGCCCTGGACTTGGAGCCCCAGGAAGGCAGGGATCCCGGCTGGGTTTAGTCCCAAGTGGTGCTCACTAAGGAGGCCTTTGGTGAAAAACCCTTGTTTAGCAAATCAGTGTTTGGAGCTAAGCAGCTCTCCAGCCACGCAGGATGGGCAGGAGTTGAGGGCACATGGACAGACAGAAGTGGGAGCCAGCCTGCTTGGGCTCCATCCCAGCTCTGCCACTTGCTGGCTGACTCTGGGGCAAGTCGCTTTGCTTTTTGGGCCTCTGCTTTCTCATCTGTGAAGTGGGGATGATGAAAGCATCTTCCTTGCCAGGTTCTTGGAGGATGAAGGAGGTCTATCTGTGGAGTGCTTCGCACGGTGCCCGCATGTAGGAAAGGCCATAAATATTATGAGCTACTATTACTATTAAGAGGTGAATAGGAGGGCCCCTACTTCACAGACAAGGAAACAGGCTCCGAGTGAGGAATAGCAAGGAGAGGAGGGGAACTGGGACAAACCCTTCACCACTGAGCTGCCCCTTCTCGGGAGGAAGGGGAATACAGGATTAAATCTGGCGGTCCTGTTCCGTCCCAGCTCCCCCTGCCCCAGCCTGTCTGGCCATCTGTCACGCCTGTGGTCCTTGGGGGGTCCATGTGACAGGCCTTTCTTAAACTGGAAAAGGCTGGGGAGGCGGCAGGAGGGCCGTGCTGAACAGGCCTGTGGTGGGGAGGGGCAGGGGATGTCCCAACTACCCAGAGAGGCCTCGGCTTTGTGCCTCGAGTGGCCTGCAGAGAGGGCCCCAAGGAGCCTCTGTGTGTGTGTGTGGGGGGGTGTTACCAATTCCTTCTCGTCCCCATCTAAAGGGTGGCCCCACCATCCCCCAGTCCTCAGGTCAGAACCCCCTCCAACCCCCACCCGCCCAGGCTCCCGGCCTGTCTTAAAAGACCACTCCTTATTCAGGAATTTCCAAATTCTATGTCCCTCCCCTGCTCCAGTCCCTTCCACGGCTCCCCAGGGCACCCGAATAAAGTACAAGGTGCAAAGCATGGCTTCAGAGACCCAGCGTGACTGGGCTGCAGCCTCACTGCTGGCTCCTGCTCTGTCCCCACCTGCCTGCCCAGTCCAAACGTGAACTTCCCTTTGGTCCTCTAGGACCTTACTACTCGGAGTGCGGTCCCTGTACAAGTAGCTTTGGCGTCACCTGGGAGCAGGTTAGAAAGGCAGCATCTTAAGCCTAACTCCAGACCGGAACCTGCATTTTAACACGATCCTGGGGGGGGGGTGGTTCTCGTGCACATTAACGTTTGAGAAGTGCTGCTCTAGTCGGAATATCCTTTTCCACCCCTTGGCCTTTGCCCACGTTATCTGTCTGGAGTACCCTCCTAGTTTCTTCCTGATTGGTCTCCTCATCCCTCAGGTCTCAACTCTGATGTCTTCTCCTCCAGGAAGCCCTCCCTGACCCCCTAGGTCAGGCCAGGATCCTCATCCGGTCTCCCTCAGTCCCCCGTGATTCTCCCATCCCAGCCCTGACCACTCTGGTCCTTTCTGTCTGTCCCCCTACTGGACTGTGAGTTTTGTGAAGGCAGAGACCTGGACTGCATTGGTCACTGTTGTCCCCAGTATCATCTAGAATAGGACTAGGCACAGAGGGGGGTCAGAGAACGTTTGAATTGATGACCCAGTGACTAGAAGACCTGGGTTGAGGGGCTTCCCTTGTGGTGCAGTGGTTAAGAATCCGCCTGCCAATGCAGGGGACACGGGTTCAAGCCCTGGTCCGGGAAGATCCCACATGCCACGGAGCAACTAAACCTGTGGGCCACAACTACTGAGCCTGTGCACCACAACTACTGAAGCCCATGCACCTAGAGCCCATGCTCCGCAACAAAGAGTAGCCCCTGCTCGCCACAACTAGAGAAAGCCCTCATGCAGCAATGAACTCAACGCAACCAAAAAAAAAGGAAGACCCAGGTCGAATGTCCAATCTCAACAAATTAATGAGATGGTGTTTTCTGTGGGCTCTGAGACAAATCAACCTCTGTGGGTGGGAAGGATGGGCAACATAAAGTGAGGAAACACTTCTCAAAGAGGGAACTGCTCACTAGGGAGCAGCTGGAGGGGAGGTATGTGAGCACAAGGCTGGACACCAAGGCCCTGGACAGCATCGGGTGTGGGGTGACAGGCTGGCCATCGTGGGCCTTTCTCTTAAGAGGCAGCTAGAGAGGGGCTGGGAACATGGGCTGTGTAACCAGACTCCCTGAGTTACAATCCCAGGTCTGCTGTGACCTCGGGCAAGTGACTTAACGTCTCAGAGCCCCAGTTACTTCCTCTGTAAAATGGGGTTAAAAATGGTCCTCACCTCATAGAGTTGCTTTCTGGTTCAGATCGGCTACCACGTGTACAGCACTTAAAACGGTGCCTGACATAATATTAAGTGCTTGGTATTTGTTAGCTGCTATTAGTATCACTATTATTTATTTCTTCATTCCAGATACTGTGTTTCTCCTTCTCTACAAGCCTTACTATCTGGCTTGAGGCTCGACCCTTCAGAGACTCCAGGATTGGGGGAACTCACCTCGATATAATGGTCTGTGAATTCAGTCCCAAATTCCCGGCTTGCACCAAAGTCCAGCAAGATCACCTGGAAATGAAGGATGGTGAAAGGGACACTGGGAGTCCACCAGTGCTCCCCAGTGTCTATGGGGGTGCCAGGGTCTGTCCTTCTCTCCCCACACGCTGCCCCTCCTGCCCAAGTCCCCGCCCAGCTGCCTCCCCTGGGCTCCTGGCTTCCGGTCTCCACACATCAATCCACCCCCACGTGAAGCTGAAGGGACCTGGTTTTTATTTTTGGGGTCCTAGTTGTTTTTATAATAACATGTTTTAGGCTCAGAAAAAAAAATCTGGAGAATAATAAAATATATGGGAAAGTAAAACCAACACCCACAAATCCTACCACCCAGTTTAAAATATAAAATACTACCAATCTAAGTGGGGCCTGATCCTACCTCCCCCCATCCCCACCCTCTCTTCCAGGGTCACCACTTTCCTGAAATTATTTTTATTATTAAATTGTTTCCTGAAATTCCCATGCATGTGTTGCTATGTTTTCTATACATATGTGGATCCATGAACAAAACATACTAATGTTTTGCATATTTTAAAACGTCATTTAAATGGTATTTATAATAGTTATGCTGCAAGTTCTTTGTGTTCGACATGATTTTGCAATTCATCCCCATCGCTCTAGCTCATTCATTTCTTCACCGCCGTGTAAGATTTTGTTGCATGAGTATATCATAGTTATCTGCTTGATGGGCACTGTGGTTATTTCTAGGTTTTGCTATTAGAAGCAGTACTCGCAGATGTAGAGAACAAACGTATGGATACCAAGGGGGGAAAGGGGCGGGGTGGGTTGGGGTGAGGTGGGGAGGTGGTGGTGGGATGAACTGGGAGATTGGGATTGACATCTATACACTAATATGTATACAACAGATAACTAATAAGAACCTGCTGTATAAAAAAATAAATAACATAAAATTCAAAAAAAAGGGACTTCCCTGGTCGCGCAGTGGTTAAGAATCTGCCTGCTAATGCAGGGGACACGGGTTCGATCCCTGGTCCGGGAAGATCCCACATGCCGCGGAGCAACTAAACCCGTGTGCCACAACTACTGAGCCTGCGCTCTAGAGCCCATGAGACACAACTACTGAGCCCATGCACCACAACTGCTGAAGCCCATGCGCCTAGAGCCCGTGCTCCGCAACAGGAGAAGCCCGCGCACCACAACGAAGACCCAACGCAGCCAAAAATTAATTAATTAATTATTAATTTTAAAAATTTAAAATAAGTAAATAAAATAAAGAATGTAGATAAAATGAACCAAATAAAGTTGAAATGTTTAAAAAACGGCAAAAAAAAAAAGCAGCACCACATGAACATGTGTGTAAGTTTCTCTACAACAGTGGAGTTCAAACTGTTTATCATAGCCCACAGCAAGAAGTGACGATTAGGGGCTTCCCTGGGGGTGCAGTGGTTAAGAATCCACCTACCAATGCAGGGGACACAGGTTCAAGCCCTGGGCCAGGAAGATCCCACATGCTGCGGAGCAACTAAGCCCGTGTGCCACAACTACTGAGCCTGCGCTCTAGAGCCCACGCGCCACAACTACTGAGCCCACGTGCTGCAACTACTGAAGCCCACGTGCCTGGTGTCCATGCTCTGCAACAAGAGAAGCCACCGCAGTGAGAAGCCCACCCACCGCAACGAAGAGTAGCCCCCGCTCGCCACAACTAGAGAAACCCCGCGCGCAGCAACGAAGACCCAATGTGGCCAAAAATAAATAAATAAATAAAATAAAGTTATATAAAAAAAAAAAGAAATGCAGATTGTCCTGGGCACCAGTGCACATGCACATATAAACATAAAACAAAAGTGTCCTGAAATAATATGCATCCCTCCCATCTGCAACACATTCTATCCTTTTAAAACAAAAACTGCTGTTGAGCCCCAGTAAATTGACGTCAGGCCTCTTATCACCACACCGGAGGAAGGAAAACACCCCCCCTGGGGCGCGAGCCTTGGAGGGATGCAGGCTGTCTGTGCACTTGGGGGGAAGAGGGTGTCAAGGGACTGAGGCTGGACTAAGTGGGGTCATGTCACACTCACCACAGGGCTCACTTGATCCTGAGGGCGTTGGAAGCTGTAGAAGGGACAGCTTGGCCAGACTGTGTCTTAGAAAGACCCCTCTGGGGACAGAACGCCACAGACCACTTTGGAGAGCCACTTAGCAACCATGCACGCTGAGAGTTTTTCAGTCCCAACTGTCACCCCCAGGCCTTTGGACAGCCTGTGTCCTTTGCCAAGTATGCTCCTCCCTGCTCCTTAGATGGCTGTCCTTCTCTTGTCTTTCTGCTTTCACCTTCCTTGACCCCACCCACTCCAGGCAGGGTCAGCCACTTTTCCTGGCTTCCCACCGCCCCCTGTGCCTCCCCCATCACTGGCCCCTCGCCTGTGCTTCCTCATCAAGGGATTAACTACAGGTCACACTTTCTGGTGATGGGTCCCTGCATTGGACTGGGAACTCTGGGAAGGCAAGGATCAGGTTGTCTTGGCATCATTTTCAAGAGACAGTAGGTGCTTGGTGTGTTCTAAATGAATGATGGGTGTGGTAATGATGACTGTCTTGCAAAAGTGGTGCTCCCTCTTCTCCACTGCCACTAGGAAGCCACTGCCTAGCCAGGGACTCCATTTCCCAGCATCCCCTGCATCTAGACTAGCCCCATGACCAGTTCTTATCGGTGGAATGGTGAAGGGAACGATGGGTCACTTCCAGCCAAAGCAGTTAGACAGTGGGTTACCCTCTCAACCTCGCTTTCCCCTTGCACTGGAAGGAGAGCCATTCAAGTCCTAGGGGATGGCACACTCACAAAAGGGAAGGAGCCTGGGTCCCTGACTCACTGCATGGAGGAGGGCCACTCCAGCCTGTTACATGGGTAATCGACTACTACTGTGTTGAGCTACTGCCATATTGGGAAATACCTGTTACAGCAGCTAATGTACCCTGACACACAAGGAACCAACCTGGTGGCTGGAGGCATCATACAGGAAGTTGGCCCAGTTGGGGTCCGTCTGCATGAATCGGAACTCAAACAGCTCCCGAAGACAAAGCCTCAGGAGCTGGAAGCAGATCTGGGGTGGGAAGGAGGAGTAACAGACATCTCAGAGCCATGTGCCCCTGTAAAGCCTTCTGAGGCCTGGAGAGGGACCATGGGTCTGGGTTGCCCTGTCAGCTGTGCCCCAGAGCAGCACCCTCCCTACTGTCCCATGAGCCCCATGTACCTGGTTCCGGATGTCCTGGCTCAAGCCCTGGCACTGGTCCAGCGGGACCCCTCCAGCCAGCTCCATGCCCAGCACCCGCGTCGTGCACAGCTCCTGAATAACAGCTGGCACCCGAAAGAAGGGGTCGTCTGCCAACAGCTGCCTGGGGCAGATGGGAGGGGCGGGGATGGGACTTCACACTTCAGGCCCCTGTGGCCCTGCTCGAGGCCTCCCCCTCCTCTGAGGAGTCTTCCATGAACAGTCTTTGTCTTGCCTTTCCTCCTGCCCTTCTCTTTCCTGTCTGTCTGGAGTGATGGCCAATACCTGGTTGGATGGACATTCATTCAGACATTTCATTCATTCACTCATTCACCAAATATCTCCATGGCACCCACTCTGTGTCTGCCCCTAAGCTGGGTGCTGCTGGAGACCCAATTACCACCTCCCTTCCGGAAACACTTCTCTGTTGGTTGCCCCGGGATGAACTCAGTGTATTAATTAAGCTTGGTGAGCATGACTTTCTCATCAACTTATCAATTAATCCATCCAAAAAACAGTCACTCGTATACAAATCTCCGAGTCCACAGTGATGCTCACTGGCCACTCCTTGGAGTCATTATTCTGAACGCTGGCTAATAAAGGAAAGGACCTTTCTCGGTGCCCATCCCTGTGCTGGATGATGCTGGGTGACAGAGCAGTAGATGAGCCCCAGGCGTGACCCCCCCACACACAGCAGAGACTACACTCTAACAAACAGGCCAATAATAGATTGAGATAGGTGTGTCAATGGAAGATGTGGGAGGCAAAGAATATGAGCGAGCCCTCTGGTTGGGGACCTGGGGGATGGCTGGAGTTGGGGGGTGGGGGGACAGGGAGATGGGGAGGAGCCGGGGAAATGAGAAATGATGTGGGTTTTATCCTAACAGCACTGGGAAATCCCGTGAGGTGGTGGTCTCCCCAGATCCCACACTGGAGTGCTCTGTCCCAGCCCACCTGACACTCTCCATCTCCAGGTCCTGCTTTGGGGACTTTTATTTTTGTCCTTGTTTATCAGATCTCTGACATTTGATCTGCTCCTCAGAGGGCAGGACTCTGCTGAGCATTCAGTCAGCACAATTCCCTTTTATCCTCACTCCCCCTGAGGAGGGCGCTCTCCTAAGGCCACTGGGCAGATTAAGGCCACCCAGCCTGTTAAGGGCTGACCCAGGCCTGGATCCTGACTGGATCCCATATCTGAGCCCATGCCCCTAACCATTGCCTTCTACTGCCCTTTCTCTGGCTTCGTATCTACAGAGCCGGGCTCAGTAAACGTGTGGGCCATGCTCCACGCTGTGGAAGGTCTCACTGAGGTGTAATTAATTGCCGCTTATCATGACGCCGCTAAGATACAACCACCGTTCCATGTGGCTGTAGTTCATTCCCTTCTGATGCTGTACGGATTGTGCTGACGAACATACCGTGACTTATCTATCCACCCTGTTGGATGAATCTGATAGATTTGGGTTGTTTCCAGTCTGGGGCTGTTGCGGCTCTGAGTATTCTCGAAGTCTGATGGTGTGTACTGGCATTAAGGGTCACTGGAGTATTTAGCCAGGAGGGCAACTGTTGGGTTGGATGTGAACACTGAGGCTTGATGATGCCCAACCATTCTCCAAAATGCTTGTATCAATTTCTCCCTCTGTCCACAGTGTACAAAGGATGCCCTGGAGCCCCGTTCTCTCCAACTCTTGACACAGACAGACTGCTTCATCTCTATTAGTCCGGTGAGTGTAACGGTATCTCGTGTGACGGACTGCCTGTTGACAAGTCTGTCTCCCCCATCAGACTGCAGTGGTTCTGCGTCCCATTTGACAGATGAGAAAGTAGAGACATTTAGAGAGAAGTGACCTGCCTAAGCTCACAGAGGACACAGGGTGTGAACGAAGTAATGAGTGAAGGCATGGATGGATGAACAAATGAAGAGAAAGAGTCTGCCAGCCCTACCCCAGGGCTCCAGCTGCCGGAGGCTGTGAGGGCATCCACCTCCCTCTCAGCCCCGGAGGGAAGCTGGAGGGAGGAAGAGGGCCTCCAGGGGCCTGTAGGGGCCTCAGCTCACCTGAAGTTCTCGGCACAAGCCGCCTCACGACGGTAGTCACATTCCAAAGCCAGCTCCTGCTGCAAGGCCTGCAGGCTCTGCTCTGCAAACAGGCCTGAGGGGCGGCAGCCGTGTCAGACAGGGAAGGCCACAGCCTGCCCCTCGCCCCCTGCCCGACCCCTCAGGCTCCCACTCAGGGATGTCTTCTCTTGCCAGTCGTGCCTCTCACTCTGTCCCTGTCTCACCGTCCCTCACCCCGTCCACTCCATGCCTTTTACCCGCACTGTCTGGCCACACACTCCCCCTGTCCTTCACACAACTGCGGGCTCCACGGAAGCCTCTCTGCTCGGGTCTCTTTCTCAGGCACACACAGCGGTCCTTAGGCCCCTATCATAGTCACATCTGCCGCCTATTCTCTGTCCATTTTTCTTTCTTAAAAATATTTTGGCCGCACCTCGTGGCATGTGGGATCTTAGTTCCCATCTTAGTTCCCTGACCAGGGATCGAACCTGGGCTCCCTGCAGTGGCAGCGTGGAGTCCTAACCACTGGACCGCCAGGGAAGTCCCTCTCTGTCCTTTTTTTCATACTCTCTCACACTGCTCTCAGTGTCTCTGAAGCTTACTTCTGGGCCTGACTCCCTCCCTCTCTCCTCTCTCTCTCTTCCTTGCTCGCTCTCTCGTGCGCGCACGCACACACACACACCTCTGCTCCATCTCCCCCAGGCACTGTCTCACATGCTGTGACACACACACGAGGTCCCACTTACGCTCCCTTCCTGTTTCTGTGGTTCTTTCTCAGGCCTCCAGTCCCTCTCCACACACCCCCTGTGTGTCTGTTTCTGGATTTCTGTCTGGGCTCCTGTTGGCATCTCTGAGTTTGTCTTTTTCTCACACGCCCATACTACTCTGGGCTTTCCCCGCCGTGGTGTCCCTTTGTTCTGTCTCAAACACGCAGACTGAGGCATTCACTCAGGCTCACACACACAAGGGCACACCCTGCCCCAGCTGGCCCTCCACCCCCCCCCCCCCCCCCCCATCTAGCCCCGCTTTCCCTCTTCAGGGCGACCCTCCCACAGTCAGGGTGGATTGCGCGCCTCACCCTCCGGCACGGCCACGCTTATCTTGAGCACCGCCAGCAGGTTCTGGATGTCGCTCTGGATGCTCTGGGCGACGCCTGGATACTGGGAGGGGAGGAGGGGAGGAGGATGGGAGTCACCCCTCTGGGGCGGCCGGGTGCCCAGCCCACCCCCACCCCACCTCTCCTCTCACCTGGATCTTCACGGCCACCTCTGTCCCATCCCTCAGCACGCCCTGGTGCACCTGCCCGATTGAGGCAGCAGCAAAGGGCACCTCCTCCAGAGAGGCCACCTTGGCCTGCCAGTCCTTGCCGAGCTCCTCTTCCAGAACTCTCTGGGGATAGTGGTCATGACAATCATCACCATGTTTCAGGCAGCCAGGTTCACATTCTGTGCTGAGCGCTTTGCACGTTAATAACCCCGCTCACCACACGTGGGGCCCTGGGCCAAGCTCTTGGCCGCTACCCCACTTTACAGATGAGGAAACTGAGGCTCAAAGAGACCTCTTGACCAAGGTGATGAGCCAGGCGCTGGCAGACTGGGAGGCCCAGCTTGAGCCCATACTCCCGAGGCCGTGCGGGCTGATGTGTGGATTGCTATTATGTAAGGTTAAGATTGATAATAATCCTTCAGTATACCCATATATTGTATTATTAACTCAAAAGTTAATGTGATAAAGAAGAACTAAAATTTACAGAGAGCTTCCTGTGGGCTGGGCCCTATATAAAGTGGCTCAGAGAAGGGCAGTAATTGCCCAGGGTCACATGGCAAGGGAGCCAAACAGAGCTCAGAGGGCAGGCAGCTGGATTCCGGATTCCACACCCTTGCCCAGGCATTTACTCAGTGCCTGGTGCTGTGCCAGTCTATTTACAGACACTCCCTCCTTTAATTAAAAGACGGGTAATAAGAACAGGTAACACCTGCATGTCATTCACGGGGTGCCAGGGACCCTTCAAAGTGCTTTACACATACACTGATTTCCATAGCCCCATGATGTGGCCGTTGCTATCACTACCACCAATCACAGATGAGGTAACTGAAGCACAAAGAGGGCAGGCCACACGTCTAACCGCACAGGTAGTAAGTGGCAGAGCCAGGGTTTGAACTCCCGAAGTCTGGTCCCTGACCACAGCACTTCACCGCTTTTTTTTTTTTTTTTTTTTTTTTTGCAGTACGCAGGCCTCTCATTGTTGCGGCCTCTCCCGTTGCGGAGCACAGGCTCCAGATGCCCAGGCTCAGCGGCCATGGCTCACGGGCCCAGCCGCTCCGCGGCATGTGGGATCTTCCCGGACCGGGGCACGGACACGTGTCCCCTGCATCGGCAGGCGGACTCTCAACCACTGCACCACCAGGGAAGCCCATTCACCGCCTCTTTAACAGCCCTGACGGAGCCCTGAGCCTGCCAGGAACTCGACTAAGTGCTCTACACCATTCCCTCATTTACTCATCACAACAGTCCTATGAGACGTGTGCTTTAGTGGTCCCCATTTAACAGATGGGGACACAGGCTCAGAGTGAGACGGGGAGCACAGCCATGAAGACGCGAGGGCCAGGCAGGTGGGGCATGCCTCCCTCGCCAGCCTTTCCCCCTCTGGGCGCTCACCTGCAGCTGCCAACGGGGCATGAAGTCGGCGCTCTGGCGAACCCGCTCGAAGATGCGCTGCAGCTGGGGGCTGATGAAGCTGTTGTCTTGGGAGACATCGGGAAGAGGGAAGCAGTGAGGGGAGAGGCCAGGAGGGGCCCCTGTGGGAGTCTGAAGTTGGGGCTTGGTGGTAGGTGGGGTAGGGTGGAACTGAGGTCAGGGGTCAGGAGTCAAGGGTTATGCTGTACCCTGGATGCTGAGCATTTGGCCAACCTTGAGGGCAGCCCCCCGAACCGTACACAAGGTCTGCACAATCCGCTCGGCATTGGCCTCCGAAAGGAAAAAGCTGGAGCCCGGCCGGGAGCCTCCCTCTGGGGTGGAGAGAATAATCATTAGTATGGCAACCACAAAAATAATCAGTATGACACCACTGCACACCTACCAGAACGGCTAAGACAAAAAAGACAATACCAAGTGTTGGCAAAGATGTGGAGCACCTCGACACTGCCGATGAGACTGCCATGGCCCAAGCCCTTTGGAAAGCAGCTGGGAAGTTTCCAGTAAAGCACACACCTATACCTGATGCAATTTGCCTCCTAGGTATATCCCCAAGAGAAAGGCATAAATGTATCCACCAACAGATACTCCAAGAAGGCTCAAGGTAGCATTATTCATAACGTCCCAAACTGGAAACAACCCAAATGACCATCAGTAGAATGAACAAAGGAATTGTGGAATAGTCACAGGGGGACTATTACAGTGTTGAATAAACAACCTACAACCGCTCACAGCAACATGGATGCATCTCTCAAATAGAATGCTGAGCAAAAACACCAGACACATACGAGAATACACTGTCTGATTACATGCGTATAAAGGAGCAAAAACAGACAAAACTAATCTCAGGGGGTCAGAAGCCAAGACAGTGCTGACCCTTAATGAGGGAGGAGGTACCAGAATACGGCACGAGAAGAGCTTCTGGAGAACGAGGGCAGCAATTCTCTAAGTGTGTTCTGGGGGCCCCTGAGACCCTTTAAGAGGGTCTGTGAGATCAGAACTATTTTCATAATAATATTAATATGTTATTTGCCCTTTTTTACTCTCATTCACCCACAAATGTTCAGTAGAGTTTTCCAGAAGCTGTGACCTGTGATGCTGTCATTTCTCTGACGGCTGATGGAGAGAGAGAGTGTGTGTATGTGTGTGTGTCTGTGTGTGTGTATTCTTGTGTTTAAAATTTTTTTCAGTTTTAGTCTCTAATACAGCAAATATCCATAAATACAACCCCACATAAACAAGTTCTTGGGGTTCTCATTCTATTTTTTAATACCTTTATTGAGATATAATTCATATATGATATAATTCACCCATTTTAAGGTGCACAGTTCAATGGCTTCTAGTATATTCAGTTGTGCAACTATTACCACAATCAATTTCAGAACATTTTCATCACTGCTAACCTGTTAGCAGTTACCCCCTCCCATTTCCCGCATCCGCCTCCCCTTGAGTCCCTGGAAACCATTAATCTACTTTCTGTCTCTGTAGACTTCCCTCTTCTGTACATTTCAGATAAACGGAATCATATGATATGTGGCCTTAAAAAAAAAATGTGGCCTCTTGTCTCTGCCTTCTTTCACTTAGGATAGTGTTTCAAGATTCAACCACACAATAGCATGGATCAGTCCTACATTCCTTTTTTTTTTTTTAAATAAATTTATTTTTGGCTGTGTTGGGTCTTTGTTTCTGTGCGAGGGCTTTCTCTAGTTCTTTCTCTAGTTCTCTAGTTCTCTCTCTAGTCTTCCTGGACCGGGGCACGAACCCGTGTCCCCTGCATCGGCAGGCAGACTCTCAACCACTGCGCCACCAGGGAAGCCCACCCAGAAGTCTTTCATAGTTATTTTCTTTTCGAACATCCAACCATGTCTCACACGTTCCATTTGTCAGTTATTATCTCTCTAGTCTCTTTTTCATCTAGAATATCCACCCGTTTTTGTTTCAAGACATCGACATGTTGCGGAATCATACCCACAAATGCTGATCTCTACACAGCCCGGTCCGTCTCTGTTGTCCACAGACCCTCACCGGCACTCCTTTTTTCACGCTTCCTCTCCGGGTCACAGTTAAGCACTCAACTCTGGATGGCTTACATTTTTTTCTCTCATGACCTGCTTCTACTCAACACCATCCTGACAGCAGCTTCACCCTGTTCTGAGCACTCCACCACGACCCTAAGAGGTGGCTATGTTATCATCAGCTCCATTCTCCAGTTGAGGAAACTGGGGCTCAGAGAGGTGAAGCCACTTACCCCAGGTCACACAGCAAGGCCAGGGTGTGGACCCAGGCAGCGTGGTTCACGTACCTGATTGTACACGTCCTCCGGGCAGGGACTTCTTGGCCATCTCAGCTAGTGCTCCCAGCCCCAATCTCACAGCCAGTCCTGGGGAGTGAGAGAGGAGCCTGAGTGCCCACTTGCCCTGGGGAGATCTCCTCCCCCACCCCCTCCCCACCCCGCTGACCCTCTCTCCTCTCTGTCTCTCTTTATGTATACCTGTCTCCCAACTCTTTGTAGTCAGCTCTTTGCGTCCCTCGGTCTCCACATCAGTCTCTTACTCACTCTCCCTGCTTGAGGCTCCCTTGGAGGTGAGGCTACCTCTTTCTCCATCCCTCTCTCCTTGTCTCTGTCTCCCAGGTTAGTGGTTCTCACCCCTGGCTGCACACAGAGTCATGTGAGGAGCTTTTGTAAATACAATGCCCAGGCCCTACCACTGAGGTTCTGGTTGAACTGGCCTGAGATGAGGCCTCAGAATTCTTTTTCTTTTAAGCATCCCAGATGATTCTAGTGTGCAGCCATGGGTAAGAAGGCCCCAAAATGATCCCCCCAGGACTCTCTGTCTTCCTATGACTCCTGTTTCTCTGTCCACATCTCCTCTTCTTCATGCTCACCTCTCCTTTTCTAAGTCAGTTATTTCTCCACCTCTGCCCTTCCGTCCACCCGGCATGTCTGTCTAGGCCTCTTTCCCTCAGTTCCTCCTTTGGATGTTAGCTCTCCGGCTCTGATTTCCTCTGCCTCCTCTGTCTCCTTGTCCTTAAAGACATCTCGAGTCACTCTGCCTCTTTCACTGTCACCATCTCCGTAAATAATTGTAGTTGGAATTTTCTGAGCACTTTTCTCCATGCCAGGAACCATTCCCAGTGCCTTTTATGCATTGACTCATCTTGTCCTCACACCCTCATGAGAGAAATTTTACAGAAAAGCTTCCATTTTACAGAAAAGGAAATCGAGGCTCAGAGAAGTTAAGTAACTTATCCAGAGTCACAAAGCGAGGATGCGGCAGAATCACCTGTTGAACCCCGCGCAGCCTGGTGCCAAAGCTCTAACCAGTGTATTTGACTCCTTCAATTGGTATCTTTAAAACCTGAACCATGATCCACAGTAAAGAAGACATTCGCATTATAACCGGTAGAGACCGATATATATATAATGTTTCATGAAACAAGACTTTCCCTTACTCTACATGTACACATATTTTCCATTCTTCTTTTCTTCCTTTTTTTTAGCTGTGTTGGGTCTTCGTTGCTGCGCGTGGGCTTTCTCTAGCTGTGGCAAGCGGGGGATGCTCTTCATTGCAGTGCGTGGGCTTCTCATTGCGGTGTCTTCTCTTGTTGGGGAGCACGAGCTCTAGGTGTGCAGGCTTCAGTAGTTGTGGCACGTGGGTTCAGTAGTTGTGGCTCACGGGCTCTAGAGAGCAGGCTCAGTAGTTGTGGCGCACGGGCTTAGTTTCTCCACGGCATGTGGGATCTTCCTGGACCAGGGCTTGAACCCGTGTCCGCTGCACTGGCAGGTGGATTCTTAACCACTGCACCACCAGGGAAGCCCTGCATGAAATAATGGACACGGGTTCAAGCCCTGGTCCAGGAAGATCCCACATGCCGCGGAGCAACTAAGCCTGTGCACCACAACTACTGAGCCCACGTGCCACAACTACTGAAGCTCGCGCGCCTAGAGCCGTGCTCCACAAGAGATGCCACTGCAGTGAGAAGCCCGCACACTGCAATGAAGAGTAGCCCCCACTTGCCGCAACTAGAGAAAGCCTGCACGCAGCAGACCCAACACAGCCATAAATAAATAAATAATTAATTAAAAGAAAATTAGTTCATGCAGGTTGTGACCTGAAGTTTGAATAATTCTGCTGCATGACCCGGGGTCAAGTCACTTCACCTCCCTTAGCCTCCACTTCCTCATCTATAGAACGGAAACAAACACTCATTGATTCAGTGCAGAGGCCACATGTGTATGGGGCCCTAAACATTCCAAGTTCTCAATAAACACAACATTCCTCTCTATATCTCTTGGTTCTACAGGACTTTGCCTTCATTCTTTTCCCATCTCTCCCTCCTCTCTCTGTCTCTGATCCACTCTCTCCCTTGCTTCATTGTGTAAATGTCACCTCCTCTGATCTAGGTCACAATCTCCCACAGTCATACCTACCCCCAAAGTTGGCCAAGCGGCTGACGCGGGAGGTGGGCACCTTGCGCTCTCGAGAACGGTCACTCAGCTGGGAAACGGAGAGAAGGTCTGAGCGGGAAAAGGTGGACACAGCACCCAGGAAGTCCAACCAACCTGCCACCACACCCTTCCCCAAGCTCGGGAGGCCAGCTGCCTTCATGGGGTGTTGCTGGGTGTGGGGCAATGATACCTGGGGCCGGGCTGTCTTCCTGATCCGGGCCTCCCGTGCCTTGCGAATGTCTTCCTCACCCAGGCCCCTGCCAGGCCCATCCTGGTGAAGCTTTTGGGTCCAAGGACCCCCACATGGCCCCTGCAAGAGACGGGAACACCGGTAACAAGTGGAGAACGTACCATCAGCCTGGCCCCTTTAGACCCCTCCCTGTCATTTGACTCCCTGAAGCCTCCCTCAGCCTCCTCCCCTTGGAGATCCCTCCCCAGCCTCTTACCCAGCAGAGGGGCCCAGGCCCCAGGGCCCCACAAGGCAGACCAGTAGTCCGGCCCCACTGTCCACAGGTCCCCCGTAGTAGGCCCCCCACCTCCAGCCACATTGTCTGGGGGAGAAGAGGAGGGATTATTCGGGTAGGAATTGTGGGACTGACCTCCCTGCTTTGCCCGTCTTTGCCTCACATTCCTCCGTGTCCACCCTAAGACTCCCACCACCAAAGACTTCCTCCCCTGTTAACAGGCCCCCAGTTTCGCCTGGTTCCCTCTCTCGTTGCTAAGAACCCATAGCTCTTCCCGAACACCTCTTCAAACCACTTTCCCCTGGTCCCACTCCGCGCCGTTGCTAAGGTCCTCCCCTGTTGCTAGACACCCACAGATCCTCCAGGGCTACCTCTCCACTCCTCTGAGCACCCCCATCATTGCTAGGCACCGCCTTCCCCTCGGTTGCTAGGCACCCACAACTCTTCCGGTGTTCCCCCCTACCAACCCCGTTACTGGGTACTTCCCCCGGTTGCTAAGCACCCACTCCCCGGCTCTGGGTCAGCTATGCGCGGGGGGGGGGGGGGGGGGGGGGGGGGGGGGGGGGGGGGGGGCCGGGGGGTCCCGGGGCGAGGCGGCTCCTGCATTTCTGGAAGTCTTCTCATGCCCGCCCCCTCCGGTCAGCTAGCGAATGACGGAGGAGCAGATCAGGGGCCTCAGGGTGGGCTGGGCCACGGCCTAAGGGCAGGGTAGGGTGGGCTGGGCCACAGCCGAAGCGCTCACGTGCTATTTTGTGCCCTTCCACTCACTTCAAAGTGCCTTGTCCACGGCGGACCTTTTAGTTTCCTACACGTCTATTTTACAAACATTCCTCTCCTTTACAAACTCCACACCTCTCCTTTGCGCGAACATTTTGTCAGCCTCCGTTTTCCTTATTTGTACCCCTAGTAGGCTCAACATCTCTCCTTTGAACGCACATCTTCCCAGCAAACATTTCCCTTTCACATGGAGCCCATATCCTGGTACCCAACCTCCTCCCTTGCACATATAACCCCCCTGCCTTGCTCACCAGCTGTTTCCCTCAGTGTGCATAAACCCCCTCACACCTAGCCCTTTGCACACTGGGCCCCTGTTCCCTCCTACACCCTGCTCTCTCAGCTCCCCGCCCACCTGCAGGATGGTGTGAGTGGGAGCCCTTTGTTTCCCGTAGGCCTGACATTTTCCAGAACACACTCAGCCAAGATTCCCAGTGCTGACTCAGGAGCCTTGGCATCCCAGAAAACCAGCTCCCAGCTCATCTGGGTGTGTGTGTTGTTGATGGGGGAGGGAGGACAGGCTTAAAGCCTGCTTCCCCCCCCCCCTCCCCGGTAAACTGACTCACCCCTCTTCTCACAGTCTGGAATAGAAGCAGCTGGCTGGGACATCTCTCCCACCACTGGGAGAGAGGATATGACACTCCCCACACAGAACTGCCTCCCCCAAACCCTGTCTAACCCCCTTTGTCAGGAATCAGACCTCCCTGTCTCTGTCCCTGTGCTACGTGACCTCAGAAGAGCCTCAACACTTTCTGGATCTCAGCTTCCCAGCCTGTATGATGCATTAGGGGGACCCTGCTATGACTTCCCATTGGTCTGTAAAGAGATGATTCATTTTAGATTCCTGGGTCTGTGCCCAATGCCCCTTTCCAGGTGACTGTTTCAAAACAGAAACCACCCCCTGTACTCTTCCAGACACAAGGGTCTGACTCAGGAGCTAGGTGGCAGCTCACTCTTGGGGGCAAAATATATAAAAAGTACCTATGACAATAACTTATCCTACAGGGCTGTGACTCATGGTACCAAGCCTGGTATCAGATACATGAGATCATATCAAATAGCCTGGTGGCTACAAGCAAAGACTACAGGCTGGCAGAGCTCTGAGCCTCAGTGTCCCCATTTATAAAGTGGGGCCATGGCATCCCCTCCTGCTCAGTGTTAGTGAGAAAGGGATGCAGTGAAACAGTGTCTGTAGAGAGGCTGGCATGGAGCTGGTACAGAACAAGAGCTCTATACATGAGAGAAATTTCTTATAGAAAAAATATTCTTTTCAAAATTTCTATTGAGCGCTTACCATTTGCTTTTCTAGGCACTGGGGACACAGCAAGGAACAATACAGGCAAAAATCTTTGCCCTCTTGGTGCTGGCTTCTGGTGAGAGGCACAATAAAATACATAAGTATATGTAATAAGGTGACACTTGTTAAAGAGAAAAACAAACCAGGGAAGGGCAGGGAGAGGAGGGAAGAGTGTGCGTTTAAATAGGGTGGAAAGGAAAGGCCTCACTGAGGAGACATCGTTTGAGTAAAGACCTGAAGGAGGTGAGGGAAGGAGCGATTGAAATAGCTGAGGAACGAATGTTCCAGGCAGAGGGAACAACCAGTGTAAAGTCCCTGTGCTGAAGATATCTCAGAGAAATAGCAAAGATGCCAATGGGCAGAGTGAGTAAGAGGAAAAGGATTAGATGAGGTCTGGAAGGTAAGCAGAGCCAGCTCAGGTATGGTGAAGACTGTGGCTTTTTTCCTGAGTAGAATGGCAACCACTGAGGTTTCTGAGCAGAGGCAGGACTGATTTACAGAAAATATTCTTACTTCCGGCTCTTCTTCCAACACCCCCAGCCTCAAAATCAAGTTGTATCACTCGATAGTGACCAAAGGGACTTCCCTGGTGGTCCAGTGGGTAAGGCACTCCCAATGCAGGGGGCCGGGGTTTGATCCCTGGTCAGGGAAACAGATCCCACATGCATGCTGCAACTAAGACCTGGCTCGGCCAAAATAAATAAAATAATAAATATTAAAAAAAAATAGTGACCAAAGACCCAAATTTTGGATTAGATGGGCCAAAGTTCAAATCTACACAATTGAGATGTGTGATCTTTTTTTCCCCTTTTTTTGGCCTCTCCAGGCGGCTTGCGGGATCTTAGTTCCCCGTCAAGGGATCGAACCCAGCCCCCCTGCAGTGGAAGCACAGAGTCCTAACCATTGGACTGTCAGAATTCCCTAGATGTGTGATCTTGACTCACCGCTTTGCCTTTCTGTGCCTGTTTCCTTGGCGGTGCAATGGGGATGATGATCAACCCTACCTTACAAGATTTTGGGTATAAAGCGGTAAGTACAGCGCCTGGCACAAAGCAAGTATACAAATGTAAATGCTGTTGTAAATAAATAAAAATCCCCATAACAACCCTTTTTACAGATGGGGAAATGGAGGCTCTGAAGAGACAAGTCTGTTGGGAGAGGTCATCCAGGAAGTAAGTGCTGGAGCCAAGCTTTGAAACCAGGCGTTCTAGCTTCAGAGATTAAGACCCTGGTTTTGCCCGTCATTTAACCCTAGGCAAATTCTTTCACTGCTCTGGGCCTCAGTTTCCCAGTTGGTAAAAGTGACTGGCTCTTGTGGCATTGAACACACATTTTTCAAAACAGTAAAGTAATATAATGTATCCTCATTTTACAGGTGACAAAACTGAGTCTGGGGCTGGGGCAGGGGGTTGGGAGAGGAAGTCACTCGTTCAAGGTAACACAGCTAGGAACTAGCAGAGGCGGGTCTCGAACTCACGCAAGTAGAATTCCCAACTCTTCGAAAGTCCTTCCCGGCGCTGCGTGAAGAATGGGCACGCTGCCGGACTCGTCGCCGGGGGTTATAGGGAGACTAAACTAGTCACTCGAGGGTGTGGAGACGTAGGGTTAATTGCGAGGGTGCTGCGAGGGGCCCCACTGATCCGGGACCAGGATCCCGGCGCCCCATACCTAACCTGGACTAGCTCCAGGCGCTCGCGGTCCTCCGCGCGAATGGAGACGGGAAGAGCCAGACAAGGCCCATACCCCTTTACGTCACGTCCGGCGAGGCGGGGCTTCGGGGCCTTCCCCGGGAGTTGTGGGCAGGGGTAGGGGTGGGGGTGGGGGTGGGGGTGGGGGAAAGTATCGGTTAACCCCTGCTTGGCTGGGCTGGCTGGAGCTCCGCGGGCCGGAACCCGCGAGTCGGGGCTCCCCAGCCACACCCCTCGCGGGATTTAAAGGGGCAGGAGGGGCTGGGCCCGGTCAAATCCCGAACCTAGGGAGCGGGCATGAGGCGCTGCCCGTGCCGGGGAAACCTGAGCGAGGCGGAGGCTGGGGCGCTGCCGGGGACAGCCCGCATGGGACTGGCGGCGACGCGAGGGGGGCGGCGGCGGCAGCCGGGGCAGCAACGACCTGGGCCCGGCGCAGGGGGCCCGGCGGGGCGGCCGGAGAGGGGCGGGCCCCGGGCCCGGACCGAGGAGTCCAACCTCCACACCGAGCCCGAGAGGGCCGGCCTCGGGCCTGAGTCGGGGACCGACGGACAGGCTGAGCCTGAAGCAGCTGGCTCCGGGGCGGGGACGGAGCGGCCCAGCCAAAAGACGGAGCCAGGCAGGTCCATCCTCCGGACACATCCAGAAAGGAGCAGCCACTGGTCAGAACTGGAGACAGCCGGTGACTGGACGGAGACTAGGACAGATGGCTTTTGGACCGATCCACACAGGTCTGACCTCCAGTGTCAGCCAGAGAGGGCTAACCTCTGGGCACAGCCAGGGGTTGATGGGCCCTGGGCAGAGCTAGAAATACATGGGTCACAGACCCAGCCAGAGAGGGCCAAGCCCAGGGCTGATAACCTCTGGACCCACCAGAACAGGTCCAGCGTCCGGACTCAGCCAGAAGGGGCCTCTCTCTCAACAGAGCCAAATGCTGATGGCTCTTGGAAAGAATTGTACACTGATGGCTCCAGGACACAACAGGATACCAAAGACCCCTGGATAGAGCAGCACATTGATGGCTCCCAGATACAACAGGATACGGAAACAACCTGGAAACAGCTTGACATCGATGGTTTCCCAACACAACAAGATACTGATGGCTTCTGGCCACAGCCTGGCACTGATGGACCCCAGACACAAGATACTCATGGACCCCAGACAGAGCCTGGGACAGACTGCCTTTTGGGGGAGCCCAACCAAGATGGCTCATTAGAGGAACCAGAACGCGGGGAGTTGGTGACTCACCTGTACTCTCACCAGGAGTGTTGCCCCCTGACCCCTGTGCCCCGTCTCATCATCACTCCTGAAACCCCCGAGCCTGAGGCTCAGCCAGTGGGACCCCCCTCCCAGATTGAAGGGGGCAGTGGAGGCTTCTCCTCTGCCTCCTCTTTCGACGAGTCTGAGGATGACGTGGTGGCCGGGGGTGGAGGTTCCAGCGACCCTGAGGACAGGTCTGGGGTGAGTGGGACCCATCCTGCCCTTGAGCCACATCCCCACAGATCCCGTATCCCCCGCCTCCACCCCCGCCTTTCCTTTGAGAAGTTCTTTAGAACTCCACCAGCAATTTCATCTCCAAGCACCTCTTCCATCCGACAGCAGGGTTACTAACCCCCTCCAGGCAGCCTCTTGCTAATTCTCTTCATTTCCCCTCACCCACTGCCTCCAGTCCTGGGGTCTAAAATGGATGGCTGCTGGCCAACTTCATGGTACTCAGGAATCCCTGAAATTGTGTGAAACTGTGTGTGTATACACATGTTTTTGCAGCAAGGGTCTGTGACTTCTGTTGGATCACAGTCTGTGACCCCAAACTCTAAAGAACACTAGTTCAGGCAGACAGGAAGGGTGCACTTTCTACCGACTTTTCTAAGTCTGGGGCCTGTAGCTGCCTTAAAGGGTCATCAGCCTTCACCACCCCTTAGCTCATTCACTTTTGTAGGGAGTGAGCTCCCAGCTTTTATCAGATTCTCAAAGAGCTGTGTGAAGCCAAAATGCTAAGGGACCCCCAGCCTGGCCAGGGACTCTCCCATTTCCCCATTGCGTTGCCCCCGAGCTCCCCAGGGTGCTCCAGCACACTCTTGTTTACATCCTCCACCCTCATCCACAGCTTGGGTGCGGTTCTCTGGGGAATCAGGAAGGCCGCCAGGGCAGGTTCAGGGAGGGAGGGTCAGCGCATAGGCAGGTGTGAGAGCCTCTGGTGGGTCTGCCTGCTGGGTCCTTCCATTGTCCTGGGGCCCCTGGCTGGAATCTGCCCAGAGTCCCCTTCACCCCACATGCTTCCCTTTAGGAACGTGCTCACACATGTGGCCACAGATGTAAGAGATAGACCTGCCCCAGCCTGCCTGTGCCAGGGCCAAGGCGCTGACCCTCTGGAGCTCTCTGCCATTGCTGTTCCCTCTGCCTACCCCCTCATCTCCTTGACATCTCAGAGCAGCTGAGCTGGAGTGAATGAAGAAACAAAAATAACAGCTATCACTCGCTCGTGCCCAGCCCTGTGCTAAGCTTTCTTTTTTATTTTATTTTTTTCGGCCACACTCCGAGGCATGCAGGATCTTAGCTCCCCGACCAGGGATCGAACCCACGCCCCCTGCATTGGGAGCACAGAGTCCTAACCACTGGACCTCCGGGGAATTCCCTGTGCTAAGCTCTTTGCTTATATTAACTCATCTTAATCTTCACAGCAGCCCTATGAGGTAGATACTATGATCCCCATTTTATAGACGAAGAAACTGAGGCACAGAGACTCATCCAAGGTCACAGACCTTGGAAGACACAGAGCTGAGATTCAAACCCTTACTGAATACCAGGCACTTTTCCAAGTGCTATATGTGTGTTAACTCTTTGAATCCTCATAAAAGCACTATAAGATTGGTATTATTATTATCTGCATTTTACAGAGGGGAAACTAAGGCCTAGAGAAGTGAGGTCACTTGCTTAGAGTTGGCCACGTCTGGTCGGAGCTTGGATTCTAACTCAATGCTGGCTTAGTTGAAAACCCAGTCATTTTCACCCCTGCACTTTGTGGATCCGTCCCTAACTTGCCTTCCTCCCAGGCCTCCCTGTCTCCAGTGTTTCCTCATCCCCTAGAATCTGCCTCCAAAACCCAGCTCTGACTAACTTTTCAACGTTCCCGGCTCCAGAGTCTTCCATGGCTCCCCAGGGCCTGCCTGATAGCGATCAAGAGTTCAGTCCTGTGTTCACAGCTTCCTGTCTCCAGGCTCCTTTCTACGTTCAGCTTCCCTTCTCCCATCCTGACCCCTTCTGCTGCTGCAAGGGAGCCGAAGTACACACTGTTCCCTGAACATGTTGCAGCCATCCTGCCTCCGCTCATTGCTCAAGCTGTTCCCACCACTCAGAATACCCCTCGCTTCCTTCTTGCTTCATTTTGAAATCCCATCTGACCTTAAAGGCCCAGCTACTTTCTCCCCCCTCCCCCACCTTCCTTCCTTCTCACATCCATCCTGTCCTCCTAATCAGACAACAGACAGTCCCAGGGTCCCTAATTTGTGTTTGGCCCCACGTTGGCTTTGCTGGGAACACAGTAGTGACCCAGACACTGCCCACATGGAGCTCCCAGGCCGGTGGAGGAGACAGACCCATCACCAGGCAGTGACAGCTCAGAGTGCTCAGGGCTGGGATGGGGGAAGCCCAGAGGGTTGTGGGAATCTAGAGAAGGTGACTGGCCAGACCTGGGGTATCAGAGAGGGCTTCCTGGAGGAGGAGGAGATGTGAGCTGAGGCCATGATGAAGCCATCTGAGAAAGCCCAGATTAACCATCAGATCTAAGAAAAAAGAGAGAGAAGATACTGAACCTGCTTATGATAAAAAATTAAAAAAAAAGACATTTAATCAATCTCCTTCAACCCAAGCTACATTTTTGGAGCACCTGTTGTGTGTCAAGCCATGGCTGGGGACACAGTTGTAACCATGACAACCCCAGTCCCTGCCCTCAAGACTTGTAATCTAGCAGGGCTGTAATGGATAAGCCCAGGGCAGTGGAGTCAGACCAGAGGTAGAACCCCAGCACTATGCTGTGTGATTTAGGCAGGTGACTTCACCCGTCTGAGTCTCTGTTTCCGCCTCTGTAACACAGTCAGCAGTCCTCCTGGGGTTGTGTTTTTAGGATTAAGTAGGTTATGGCACACTGAGCCTTTGTCATTGTGCCTGGAATGTTCCAGGTGCTTAGTAAACAGGAACCTTTATTCATCACCTCCTCTTCACGGCTGGCAGCTGGAGAGGGGAGGGAATAGCCCTTCCTGAATCCTTCAGTCCAACCCCTGCCTGTGTTTGACCTTCCCACCATCCATTAGATGTCTGCTAGGTAGCTGGGCTCTGGGGGGTAGGAGAGAACATGGCCTTGACCCCGGGGTGGGGGGAGATGAGCCACATAGCTTTTTTCTCTGGAGAGGACTCATTCTCCCAATCCTTGCTAAGGGCCTGCTGTGTGCTTGGAGCAGAGAAGATATTCGTGTGTGTGCGCGTGTGCACACGTGCGTGTGCGTGCATATGCAAATGCAGTGAATCAGGCAGTAACCAGGTCTCAAGAAGCTCTTGCTTGAGTCCACACGATACAACTAAATCCTTGTTTTCTGTTTGCTTCTCTGGTTTTTTGTTGCTCTCTCTCTGTCTTCCTCTGCATCTATGTTTCTTTTTCTTTCTCTGTCATTACTTTGTGTCTCCCATTCTGTCTTTCTATATTTCTTTCTCTTCTAGTAACTCTGTGCCTATCTCTGTGTCAGTTGGAAGAGGTCAGGGTTTGCTATAGTGACAAACAGCCCCCAAACTCAGTGACTTGGAACAACAAAGGATTTCTTTTTTTTTTTGGCCCCGAGGCTTGCAGGATCTTAGTTCCCCAACCAGGGATTGAACCGAGGCACTTGGCAGTGAAAGCACGGAGTCCTAACCACTGGACCACCAGGGAATTCCCAACAAAGGATTATTTTCATTCCTACTGCACATTGACAGTGGGTCAGTGGTGGCTGAGGCGGCCCTGCTCCGTGCTGTTTTCACTCAGCCTCTGTTTCTCTTCCTACAGTCCCCCACCC